CAGTTAAATTTTCATTACTTTGTTTGCAGATTAAAAGCCCATCTTGATGTTTCAGTTACAAGAACACAATTTCAGTTCTACAATACCCAGCATACCACAAAGATTCCCTTAGTCATAATAGGTGAAAACATGATTTCACTCAGATTAATTCTGAAATGTTTGAGTCCCTATTTCTGCTTTCACCTCATCTCTGTGAATTCACTCTTGATGAGCAGGATGTGAACACAGGAGCTGGAATCTTGTTAAAGCCATTTAAGAAGTTTGCTGCCATTTACACCTGCATAAATCCTGAGTAATTTCAGTGGCATAAATGGAAGCACAATTTGGCTTGAGGCATCAGGGCTTTAGTTTTTTCTTACTTTTTTTTTTTTTGTTTTAATTCAGCAACAGATTAAAAATAAAACTCTAATGACATCATGCTTATGGCACAGAGTCAATGGATTTATGCTGGACTGCTCCAGAGTAAATGAGATAAGGCTTTGACCTAAGAAAATCCACACAACACCCATCTGCAAGCAGCCTGCTGAAAAGCTTTCTGTTATGGAATGACTCCATCTTTAAGGAACTGGGGGCAAACAACCCACAAACACCTTGGTTCCAAAATCTAGTTTTGTTAACAAAGGGGTTTATTTCAGACATATTCTTCAAACCTCAAAAGTGTAGCATGCTCATATTGCAACTGACTCATCGTGCACAAATTTTTGGCTTTTGTTTTTCTTCTTTGTTCATTTTTTTTAAAATGCATTTTAGTTATGCCCATCACCCCACTCAGAAATTAGGGGTTTAGAATGGAAATTCTTACCAGCTTTTCATGCTGGTGGTGCTTGCAGGCACTGCCATGATAAATAATTTACTATTTAATGACTCCTGATGTAATCACAGCAGGAATCAGGTTCACCAACATCCATCTCTCCATTGTTACCACTCTTCTCTGAGCCCATCCTTTTAGCTCCCAACTCAAGTTGTGTTTAAATTGGTAAAGAGAGAGTTTACTGCCACAATCCAACCTCTACATTTGTTTATGTTGGATGACATTTTTGTCCTGGCTCGCATTACTCAGATGGATAAAACTCAGAAGGGTTTGCTTTATTGCCCTGTTTTCTCTTAGTGTTCCTGCATTTTTTAAATGCTACCAAATGGTTGCTTTTGGCTCTCAGCATTATCACATGTTGTCTATAAGCATGGAAATAGTTATGGTAATATGGACGTAAATCATAACTGTAAATACCACATAAAAAAGACTGCCATATAATTATAAAAATACCTAATAGATTTCTTTTTCAAAGACAACACAGCTGTCCTTTCTAACCTTTCATTTGCAGATTCTTTTCTCTCCTGTTTTTATTTATAGGTTGCCGTGCAGTTTGACATAGCACACCATGATTTTTGTTTCTAATTTTGAAAAGAAAAGGAAAAGAAAGAATACCCATTTCATCATAAAGAAGCATTAGTTTACAATTTTGAAAAGAAACTAACGCCAGCTCTAGAACATCATCTTGGAACCAATCTCCCTCTTAATACATTTCAAAAGGATCTGTCAATGGCTACATACCACAATATAAAATTAAACCCTGCCATGGAGCTGAAGGAGGGGTCGGCCAAACGGCACACATCACATGTTGGGAAGGAAGCCCCGTTCTTTCTCCAAACATCTCAGTGGGGTTTTTTTTTTTGTGAAAAGAACCACACTAGGTTATTACATTGGCCACAACAAAATAAGAATTTTATGCCCTGCTCAAGGAAAAGCAGGTTGAAAAGTGTTCCAGGCAAACTCCCACTATACAATGTGCTGTGTCAGTGAGAGGAGTGAAGCCCTGCACACTGCTGATGTTGCCAAAAAGGGGTTTGGATTTTTTTTTTGCCTGAGAGATACCACCATGCATTTTACCTGTTTCTAGTCAGCTTTGCAATGCTTTAAGGAAAAAAGGAGTAGAATTTTTTTTTTTTTCTGCTGGAGTTGCGCGGTGCTTCATCCTCCACAAACTGGTTCTTACCTCTTCCCTGTTACTTTAAACTTCCAGAAGGAGCCTGTTTGGTCACAAAAGAGAGGCTGCAGGCAGTGCTCTCATGCCACATGAATGGAAGGCTGTTATCTTTGTGCCTTTGCAACATTTTTGCCTCAAAGCTTCTTCCTATCACCAAGCAACCCCTTCAGAGACCTGTGCCTCTGCCTTTCTGTCCATCAAATGCCATGTTTTTACTTAAATAATAGCAAACCTCTCCAGGGAATGGAGTTCATCTTAACCATCAGAAATGTCTGCTTCCCTCTCCCTCACTTTGCAAAAAGAGTAATCATGGCTTTATGCAGAACAGCACACAGCTCTCAATAGGTTTCTTATACTCTGATTCCCTTCAGGAGAGGCAGCTAAAACAATTGAACTGCAAAATGCTGGTGGGGAAGGTCAGTCTGGACCAGAGGTGTGCTCATTGCTTATTGATACAGCTCATTTAGGCAGATAACATTCTCAAATCCACACTGCATTTTTATCAGTCTGCACCAACTGGCCTTTGTCCAAAAATGTGTCCTTTTATCAGATGTGTCACTCTTTTGGGAGGCTGTCATCACTAGACTGGGTGACTGAATGTTAAAATAATTTCTCCAGGGGGAAGAGGTTGATCCCAAAGGTTTTCTAGTTCCAAGGGGGGGATCATTTTTCACCACCAGCTGGAGCCTGATGTCAGACATGCCCTTGCTTCATTTATTCTCCTCAGAGGTTGAAACTCAGCTTGTCCTTCCTGATTCCAATATTGTTTCACATTCGGACACATAGCATTTGCTACACAGTGAATTGTTAGAGCAGGAGAGCCCATGAGACATGGGAAAATAATTTAGGGGAAGCAGTTTGACAGCAGGATGCAGTAGTTTCTATTGTCCCATTAAAACAGAGATAGCTGGGAACTTAACTTTGTATTCATTATGTAAACAGATGTATTTTAGCCTGATGTGCCAAAAATATGCAAACACAAAAAGAACCTCAAACAAACCAAAACCCCCAAATTTATGCCACCAAAACCTCAAGCAAACCAACACAACAAATATTTGCTCTTCTTCTGCACCATGTCTACTTACTTAGCAGGGATATGAGACTGAAGCCTTGTACACCTGAAAGAATGGTAATTTGTACTAAAAGATCAAATGTCCTGGGTTCCCTCTGAGTTATTTTACATTTGCACTTTGGTCTGAGAACAAAAAGGAAGCTGCAATGATTGACTCATCTTAGGAAAACATCTTGACACATTTTTATTCTTTCCTATGTGTTTTCTCCACAACAATAAATAGAGAGAGGGGAAATTCACCAGTTCCCATGCAAAATTTAAAGTTTAATTCTTCAAACAAAAGAGCAGCTTGGTCTTGCCCACTAATGGCTTGAGGTTGCACTGACTTTATTTAGACCACGCCTAAATTAAAGGCAGAACACAAGCAGGTATCAGAGATCAGTCACTGCAGCATTTCCTGCATCTCCTGTAACATTCCTCTTCTTATGCCAAGATGCCTCTGCAGCCCTCTAAGTCAGGCTTTGAAATAAAATTGATCAAATCCACAGCATATTGTGCTAAAGCTGGACCAAGGCCAGACACACTAAAAACTCTCACCTCTTTTCTTCATAAATATGGGGAAGTCAGGAGACCATGAACTGCTACTTCCAGAGGTATTTACAATACCAGCAGCATTTCTCACTCAAAGCACTCCAACTATTATCACAGATACTTTTATTGCTAAATTTCCAATCTGTATTGGGGGTTTCTCTTTATATGCACATTCAAGAAATCTGAATGAAGCTGTGATATGAATTTACAGAATATATAGAGGCCAGAGAGCAATTTATCTCTTTCAAAGTGAGTAAGGCAATCTGAATGAAAGCCATTTTCACTTTGAACAGCTGTGGCTGCACAAGGGATCAATCCACTTTAAAATTAGCTCAGATAATGTCTTTATCTGATAGGCTGATTCTCTGACACTGTGCAAGAAAGCTAAAAATGAAAGAAAATCTGTCCTTTGACAGTGCAGTGTCACATATTTCTGATGTTGTCCTAGCAATCATCATTAAAATTTTGATTTTTGATTCTATTAGTTTAATTTCAATTTCTGCTTTTTGGCAAGATGCACAATTCTTAGGAATTATGAGAAGTTTCTTTCCTCTTTCCTTCTCACCTCACTTCCCCAGAAAAAAAAGTGAAAAGAGAATTTGCATGACAACTTTGAGTGAGACAAGGATACAAAGTGGACATGCCAAATTGAAATGGACTTTTGTCTGAGCACCATCACATGCCTCCAGCAAAACCACTCTGCTGCTCCTGCCCACACAAACTACCCTGCTGGAGGGACATGAACTTTTAGAGGTAGGTAAGAGAGCTGACTAAAACACTGTTAGAGAAATAGAGTCTGAGTTTTGAGCAAACTTGTATTTTTGTTATCACTTGAGTGGAAAAAAGCTCTGGAGGATGTTTGGAAGAGGTCTAAGACAATAGAGCCTCACTGAGCTTTGGCCTTTGGGCACACTGCTAAGTAACTGTAATTAGTAACAAAAATGAACATATTCCTGGAGAGAAGACAGTGAGGGAGGGGCAGAAAATGTGCAAAGGTAACTGCACAGGGGGAAAAATGCAGTAAACATTAAAGAATCTCAGGATTTGTAAACATGGTGTCAACTGTTGCTAGTCACAAAGATTCCTGACACTAACATTTCTGTTTAATTCATTAATTCTTGTGTGACAAACACCAGCCAGTTCACAGCACTTGTATACAAGGTGTGTGGTTTGACTTCAACTTGAAAGCAGCTCCTTTTGCAAACAAGAACCAGGACTGCATAGCAGGCAAATGGTTAATGCTGAACAACACACACATGAAACTTCATCAACTCCCTCACAAAAATTAGGACATTATTCATTATTATGGAGCCCTGTAATTCTAAAGTAAATCATGCCAAGATACTATCTTGCAGGTCTCTAGATCAGATATCATTGCTCAGAAAAAAAAATGCAAGCTTTCATGCACTTACCTTATCCTCCAGCCGGATCAGTCTGGCTCCTATACTGTAGTATCCTTTGTCTACCCCTTTTTCTAAAGAAAGAAGAATAAAAAAGAGACATTCATTAGGTGGAGTATAAATTCAAACTATGAATTATATCTGTGGTATTCACAGCAAAGAGAAAAAAAAATGGTAATAATAGGGTAGCATAAAATACATGAACATAACAAGAAAGAACTAAACAAGTGAAATAGAATGGCTGGAGAGAAGGGAATTAGTTTGTCAGACTGACAAGATTGAGTTAGTGTAAAGGGCAACTTGGACCTTGGTAGAGGTAGTCTGTGGACATGAAGGGGCATAGATGGAGTCTGGAGTAACATTGTTTTGTTGTTTCAGTAGTTGGATGGAATGGGCAGGGTACCTTGGCCCACCTGCTATTTCAAATATTACTGGCCTGAGCAAGGTAAACTTGCTATATATAAAGAAATCAGAATAGTTTTCCACTGGGGCTGCAGGTCTAGGAGGCAGCATATCCAGGGGTTCAAGGGATGGAGTGGCAGAGATCCATCCATCCATCCATCCATCCATCCATCCATCCATCCATCCATCCATCCATCCATCCATCCATCCATCCATCTCCTCTCTGCAAAGGAGTGACACTGGGAAAAGCTCTTGCATCCTCCTTTTCCCTCCTACTCTTTATGAGGCCTGCTTAGTAAAGCCCAGTTACACATTCCACTGCAAAGGGTGCGACTGGGAGCCAAGAGTGAAAACTGTGGAAAATGGGGTCCATTCTTTCAGCTCACAGGATCTATTCCTAAGGAATGCCATAGTTTAGGGGTGTTATGCACAGGAAATGAAGCACAAACCCACACGTATTCTGAGTTTTGAGACAACATTCACCAGTTAAACCCACAGTCCAATACAGAAATAACTTACAAGGTGATGCCAATGGAAGTTGGATGTTTTCCTCTACTAAAGTATATTTCCATTACCTGGAGTAATTACTCCTGATTTTTTCATGCATTGCTCCATTTTCATGAGTGCTTAAGGTCTGGTTTTTAAAGCTAACTAAGTCAATTTTTCTGAGGGCATGAGCAAGGCTGAGATATGAAGGAAGATAGGCTGAGATATGAATTTACACCATACCAGAGTTCACAGTGAGTGCCTGTGTGTGTTCATCACATTCCTGGATTTCTCAGGGAGTCTTACTTGCTTTACCATTTATATTTGCTATGGGATATGTTTAGTGATCTGTTTGCATTAAAGTTCACCTCAAGGTAACTTGTGCTGCACATTTCACAACCCAGAGGAAGACCAGAAAAACAGTGCTGGCAAGAGCAATTTGTGCTTTCCTTCTCCTCCTTTAAAATGTCCTGCACCCTTGGCAGCTCTTTGCAGGCTTAGAAAAGAGAAGTGTTTCCCCAGAGAACCTGCAGGAGCAAATAAAGTCAGGAAAGAAAATGTGGGGCAGACAGTAAGTGACACAGCTTGGCTCATACATGTGTACTATTCATCGTTCACAACCTCAGAAACTTCTTAAAATGTAAGTGGCTGAGGCTCAAGTTTATCTCTGTGTTCATCTCTGCCTAAAATGAAATAGTTGGCTCTGCTGTCTACTTTCTAGTAAATAAATCTGTAAACACATCTTTCAAAGTATATATATCACAAAAAAGCCATCACTTCTAAGATTTCTAAATTGGGACGTGGTTTGAACAGCAGTGGGCAGATAGTGTTTTTGTTTAGGTCTAATCCCAAAAAATCCCCCAAACCTGAAGAATTACTTCAAAAAACTTTTTCTTTTTTTAAATAATAAAATAATGATTTCCTCACTAGCTCTAATTCCATCCTTCAGGTAATCACCAAGACATTTCAAAGCAAGTTAATAGTGTTTCTTATTTTAGTTATTCCTGAAAGTTGCGTGGAACAAGAAAGAAAATAGGGAGCAGATAAGCAGTAAGAAGCTGCATTGTGGCATGTGGCACTGCCCTAAGATGTGGAAATCAGAAGTGGAAGAAATGATGCACAAGGAGGGAGCTGTGTCTCATGCACCCCTGTGCTGGCACACAGGCCCTGGAAGACACAAAATACTGTGATCCTCCCCCATTTCTTATCAGCCTCCATGGGGAACACCATCCAGCCCTAATTTACAAACATTTCCTTCTCATAGAGACCATCTTTAAGAGTAAATGTGGTGTGTGCACAATTCACCAAACACCGGGCTAAGGAGGGAGGGCACAAGTTCAGATTAAGTTGCTCCAGCACATGTGATTTCTATCTCATGTTTTTGTTTCTCTCTTGAGTCTTTTCTAGACACATGATTTCAGACTTCCTCCATCATTAGATTGTTTTTACAGAGTTGAAAAGATTGCATGGTCAACTATAAATATGAAATGTCTGAATTTCTCCAGTCTTCACTTTGTAATCCAAACTAACTTCCTTTTAGAATTGAGTTTTTACTCTGTGTTGGGTGCACTAAAACAGAGATCACCTAAGCAATCCTGTAACACTTATGGGAAAGGCACAGAGACAAAGGATGAAAGGAAGCACAATTATTTACAACTGGATGAAAATACATAAGGGAAAATTTTATCTCAGAAATAAAAAAACAATCAAAAACATCTTGCATCACATGGTTGGTATGATACAAACCCATTATTTTATATACTTAGATTTGAATCCAAGAAAATACTAGTAAATAAGCAATAGGCATTTAATTCAGGAGACTGAATATTTGTTAATACAGATTAATAATAATAACATATATTTATTAATATGGACATTTCTTCCCTGGAAGTCTTTGCCTTCCTGAGTATTCTACTTTCAAACAACACAATCCTATATTAATTTCCAAATATTTTCACAAAGCTGGCCCATCTATTTTTCTAGTGAAGAACAAGATATGCCTCTTACAAAAAATAAAAAAAAAACACCCCAAAAAAAACCAGCCATAAAAATCAAAAATAAAACCCAACAAAATACCTCAAACGCTTTTTAGGTTTGCTTCACAGCAGTTCAAGAGATAATAATTCTTTCCCTAGATGGAAGCACATGATGTAAATAACATAAACTGATACGAGCAGGAGGAAGAAAGCAAATCAAAGGAGGAATGGCACCCTAATCTTATTTTTTCACACAGTTAGTGTGCTATATCTCATCAGAAAATACCAAATTTAAAAGAAAATAATTTTTTTCCTTTGATTAGGGAAAAGTATTTATGAGGACTCTTAGGACAGTGAATGAATTGCAGAGAGATGGTCTGAAAAAGGTAAAAGCTGGAAACGACTTTGCTTTATAGAGCAAGAGTCCTTCCTTGATTTTTACACAGCTAGAAGGGAGCTAATTCAAAAATATTCAGATTTTTCTGAAAGCTGTCAGCTTCTTTTAAGCAGAAAATGGGGAATTTGAGTGGATATTCTGGATTGCTGAAGACACCTCAAACCTTTTGTCCTAGATTGCAAGGCAAGATGAATTCTATTTGCCAGCTGTTAGAGGTGTGGCAATTATCTTCTGTTAATTGGGCAGTTTTTTGTTTATCTCTTCCACAACCAATCCTTCCTCTGGGGAGGCATTTGCTGATAACAGGCCATTGAATGCCACTGCATGACTGATAAGAATTACAGCAACCCACTGTGAGATGCTCTACCCAGAGGGAGGAGCCAAGCATTCCTACCTGGATAAAATCTGAGATCCTGGAACACCAGCACAGCTTCTCCACTGGATTTCCCAGAGGAACAGCTGCCTCTTCCACTGGGTCTTCAGAGGAAGACTGCACCTTTCTACAGGATCCCTGCTCCATCAGAACCACCCCTGACACTGCAGCCACAATTCCAATGGGACTGCTGCCAACACCCTGACCCACAGCGTGTCAGGCTGGGTTCTGACTCTGTTAGTGTTGTTTTGTATTACTGCATTATTTATTTTATCTTTTTATTTTCTTCCCTAATAAAGAACTGTTATTCCTGCTTCCATATTTTTGCCTGAGAGCCCCTTAATTTCAAATTTATAACAATTTGGAGGGAAAGGGTTTACATTTTCCATTTCAGGGGAGGCTCCTGCCTTCCTTAGCAGACACCTGTCTTTGCAAGCCAAGACACCTTTGTAAAAGGTATCTCAGAAAGCAGAATAGTCCCCCCAGGAGGCACTGCTGCCTTCTTTTGGCTACCTGGGTGCAAATGCAACCTTCTGGACCTGAGTTTGCTCCAGCTCTGCCAAAGCTCCCTGCAGGGATGATTGTGATGAGCTTATTTGGATTCTTAGGTTTGTAAACTGTGCATGTTGCTGAAAAAGAAGGTCAGGACTGCCCCTTCACACCCCAAAAATAGCAAATAACAAAGTTGCCTCAGTCATGGCAGCTTTTATTTGGAGTCTGTTTTTTTGTCAGTCAGAGCCTTTTGCAGCTGATTGGTAGAAGAAATTAAAAAAAGGTAAGGCATAGTCCTGGATCAGGCACTTGTGATTTCCTTTGGACAGCCTAAAAAGTAAACTGCCAAAATATTTTCATCTCCAGGAGAGGTGGGATAAATCAGTTCCTGCAGAAACATGGGCATCTCTCATTTTAAATATTAATTGACTTAAAAAAGATAAAATTTAGGCTGAGCATATTTATTATGCTTTAGAAGATACAGTGACCCAATTTCTTTTCAACAGATGGGAAGGAAAAAGTATCCGAAAGCTTAGGTGGCACTTTATGCAAAAAAAAAACAAACAATGGAACTGTCAAAATTTTGCAAGAAAGCCCTTTTCTTCAGGCATTCCCACCCGTGTCATGCAGAACCAAGAGGTTCAGATAAACTGCAGATAAACATAGCTTTTTGTGTACTTTTCTGAACCCAAACACTGGACCTTTTGTTTTACCTTGGCATTATTCTTCACCTTTGCCCCTGAAAAGCTGTAGTAAGTCTCAAAAATTGCATTAAAAAGCAGTTAACTCCATAGTGTGCAGTGAAGGTCAAGCATGACACTCTTTATTTGTATTACTGTATGTGGCTACTTTGTTGATTCCATAAATTCAATCAATATGCTCTTTCCCTCTACAGCAACATTTTCCATTATGTTTATTATGACAGGAATCTGTTTCCTCTGACAAAATTGTGTCCCCTGGAACACTGGGACAGGCTTCCAATGAAATTATGAGTATATTCAGAGAGTCTTCTGAATATACTCATAAAAGTAGGGTCCAGGTCCTTGCAATATTGATTCATTATCTTAGTGTTTTTAAATGCGCTCCTGCTTGAAAGAGTTTCAAAGAAAGGGAGGAGATGCCAAGACCAAAACAAGCAAAAAGGGAGAATTCTTCCCAATATGCAAAGGTGAAGGTGGAATTATTAGAATTCTTTGTACAAAATAGGTCAGATATTGTAAGTTTAAAGGGATAATTAAGCAAGTTCGTTGAGGACAAACCATTTTGGAGACTAAATACACTGCAATCTTGTCAGGAAACCTCTAATGTGCAATGGGCTGAAAGCTGACAGGAAGGCTGGAGGCTTTTTTTACACATTTCCCAAAGCACCTTGCTCTTGGCCCCGTTGGAGTCAGGACTGCTCTGACCCAGCATGGCTTTTATTCTCTTCTTGTATCCTTATCTTGTTTTAACACAGCTTTTAGTGCTTTTTTATCTCGGAGAAACTAACTTGAAAAATAACAATAATTGCTTCCAGTAAATTCAGATTCTGGGTCTTTTATGACATCATTCACTTTTGAAAAGTAATAATACTATAGACAGGCTGCAATTGCTTTTATATAATATTATCAAAGTCCACAACAGGGACTTTTCAATAAAAAAACCTGATCCAAACCCCACTGAGGTCACTGGAAAGATTCCCGTTCATTTCAACGGGCTTGGAATCAGACCTTAAGATTCTTTGAATGGGAGTATAATAAAACAGGAAAAAAATAAAAGGAGCTGGAAAGAAAAATTCTTTTCATGTTTTTCTCCTTGGCAGTTTAATTTTCTTTGCATTGTCATTTCTTTTTTGCTTGTCATCAGTACAAAAATAACAGTCTAGGGGAAACACCCATACTGTTAAAAAATGAGGATTTTAGCAATGCCTGGAAAAGTATTATATAAAAAATCCATGTTCAATGTAGAATAAGCCATGCATTCTGAGGGAGACTCAGGGATAACCCTTTTTCTAGAGAAGGACAGTACAAACATCTATTTTCACCCCAAACAAACAAATACTGCATCCACTTTTCACTGTTCACCACTTGGAAAATCCTGGGAGTAAAGTTGGGTTGGATAACATTAGGAGTAATTGCAAACTAACTCTGGGTTCAGTTCTGCACACCATTTCTCTGGAACCACTTATCTTATTTTTGGATTTGTGGAGGGTTTAGATAAAATAACTGCTAGATCAAATAACTTCTGGTTTTGGTCTTGCAACCCCCTAACTGAGCTCACCAGCTTCTGCATCCCTAACCACCATTCTATCTCTTCCATTCCTGGTACTGCAGATTCTTTCCAGCCCTTATCCAAAGCCACAGGCTCACCTAAGACCCTCCCAGTGGTTTCTGTGACCCTTTTGACTCAAGATTTGGTGAGACCAAATTTCCTGAACATCTTCAGCTTCTTGAACCTCTCAGAACATAATTCTACAATGAGTTTCTAATTATTCACCTCCTCTGAAACCAGAAACTGCTTGATAAAAAGTGCTTCTAACACCAGTCTTTTCAAGCACAAATTGCAGTTTCAGTTTGGTAATGCTGTACTTGAAATAAAATAATACATTCTTGGAGATAAGGGACGTTTTTCCATAAATTTAGCTCGCACATTGTGGAATGAAATCCCATGCATAAATATTTATAGAAGTATTCAAGCTGACAGATTCTTTTCCTGTGGTCCAAAACCAGCTACAGGGGAAAAGGATTGTACTACTGAGCCTTCTGCCGCAATCAGATGTTGAAAATGTGTTTTGAATGATATTCCTTGTTCTGATAATATTAACCACTGACAACATGCCATGTTTTAGAGGCTCTGAAATTACTTTGCCACACTAAGTTGTGCTCCAAGTCAGTTGTGAATATGGGACATGAGTTCAGGAAGGAAGAAACCTTTTTAAGTGGAATAAACATATATTGTAATCCCAGGCCCAGACCAAAAGATTTAGAAAGACTATTTTTGTCAAAGGATTTCCCTCAGGATATTTCCATCTCATCATGTTCTAATACACATTTTAACATTTATTCTTAATTTCCATTTACTCCCCTACCACCTGAATGAAATGTATTTCTCTTTACACAGGCATTCTAGGGTTTATTAACAGAATTACATTAGTGTATGATTGCCTGCATTATAAATCCACATTACTGTAGCCAAGGGTATGTTCCCAAAGTTATGGAGATAATAATTTTGCATAAAATACAGTCACCATACCTGGGAGGAAAAGACCTGGCTTTCCCAAGGATTGATCCAACCTGAGAAGCAAACAGAAAATTACCAGCAGATCAATTACCAAACAACTTAAACTCTGTTGCTAAGCACGGGAGCATAATTTACATGAGAATTTACAGTAGCTCTAAACCCAAACCAAAACATGCAAAAACATGAGACTAGCATGACTTTCTGCACACACAGTCAGCAGTTTAGCTCTTTAAGATTTTTTCCTCCAAAATAAAACCATATTATTATTGCTATTTTTGTGAATACTAATATTTCTCAGACTTTCAAGTTGTAACTAAAACATAGTTCTCCTGTGTCCTATGTAATCTAATAACAAAGACTATACAAACAGAATGACTTCTTAATAACATTTGCAACTATTCCTAAAGCCTCATGCAGGCGGATTTAATATCTGTATATGTTGACACAGTAGATTCCATTCAATAGGATTTTTTTTTTTCATTTAATTTAAGGGCCAGGGGAGTTCATTCTGGTGTCCCAGTCCACAGCATTAATTTGTAAAGAGAAAAGCACTTTGTGCTGAAACAGAAGAGAATAGTTTTGTGGCAAAATATTTCAGCTGCAAACCCCAAACTTGGAGAAAGCATGTGCATGGAGGAATGTGGGCAGGGAAAAGTTCCAGATAGTGCAGCACAAGCGAAACAGATTTCTTTCAGTTGTGGAGAACCACAGAGTGGAAACAGAAAGGTAAATCATTATTTGAAAAGTTTTCCTTTTCTAAGAAGAGGACAGAAAAGCTTGGATCACACTATAAACTTCACAGCATGCACCTTCATTTCTTTTAATTCCACTTGGAGAAAAAGGAGAGGAGAATAAAGGCTAATTGTAAACTTGGTCATAAAAAGGGTTAAAAATGGCTCCAAGTTAAATCCTCCAGATATTGTGCTCCCTGTTGTGCTTGCAATTTTGGACAATTACTGTTCATTAAGAACACATCTCTCCTAAAGCCAGCTGGCACTAGAGGAATCAGATATTTCATGAGGTAGACAGGGCCTACCTCCTTTGAAGTTCCTTTATGCGAACCATCATGTTGAGGTGTCCTTGGGAGTACTGCTCAATCACGTCACGGACGTCGTACGGCTTCCGAGCTTGCTGGGAAAGGAGGCAGGCAGCAAGTTGAAAGGTGAGCATTGGCCAAACTGGATTTCTACTTCAGACAGGCCTTCATTCTATTTTTTTATCTGCCCATTTGCCTGCCATTTTGCAACAGTTGTTGTAATGAATAAAAAAAAAACAACGCAGCCGTTGTGGGAGTGAATATTTGTTGTGGAGACAGAGCCAAACGATTCCTATTACTGTCAGAGTCATGTCTTCATGTTACTCCATACTGAGCAAAATATTAGCCCTTCACAGTGTATTTGGGAAACACAAACCCAAGGTGGATAATTTATCTGGGACTCCCATGTGCAGTATCTCCTGGCTCTTTCCAAAGCCATGTGTTAATCATAATGTCAGGGGACTGAACCCCAGGGATTGGCCCAGCTCAGAGCACTTGGACCCAGAATCAAACATCTCTGAAGACCAGGGATGTCTGGTGACAGAAATATTGCTGCTTGAGGAACAGGGAAGACAGATGCTCTGCATAAGTCAGGAGACTGCCGCACGTGGGTTTTGTTTGTCCTCCTTTGTCTTTCGTGATACCTTTGAGATCAGAAAAAAAAGGTGAAACTAAAATAAAAAAGGACACATAAAAAATTGCAAGAGAGTGAAAACACTCCCACCTGCCCAGCTATATTCCCATCCTAATAAGAATCCAGGTGCTTCTGCCAAGCTTTGGTTGCTTGTTGCAACTACTGTGGCCAAATTTCGAAACAAGTCTGGAGAATTTGCAGAAAGTGATGTGGTTATAAAGAGTGCAGCATGGTAATATTTTAGCAAGTAAAATCAATGTGCGTGGGGAGGTATCAATGCAAATCATGGCCTGTTGGAAAGACCAGCATTTTGAGAAACCTTATGGGAAATGTGGGGCAAAATGTCTCCCTTTTTGGCTCTGACTCAAGAAAAGAAGGGGGGGGAGAAAAAAGCAAAGGTAAACTGCAAATCTAGTAATTGAAAATTACTGAAAACAGCTCATTAGTCATCTTGTTGTCTGTTTGCACTCTGTCACAGCCTCAGCCAGAGCCATTAGCATGCACCACTGCACACATGCATTGAACACCTACAGTATGTGCTGGAGTCATGCTTGGAAGGCTGCCACACAATCCTAGAAATTTCAAATGAAAGCATGGAACTGGAATGGAAACAAATCCTGTGAAGTGAATGAAGAAGCAAGAGCTCTTCGTGACAAAATGCCTTCCCTGCACACAGCACTTACCTGCACCAATACTTTCAGAAGAGTTGTGGCTTTGGAGGTGTGTGTGTGTGCATTTGAGTGCATTTGGGAGCAGAGGCTTTGTGAGGGAAAGAGGTTTCAGCTTTCAGCTTATCGTTCGGTTTTCGGTCGGGTTTTTTTTCTCCCCCTTCCCCAGCTCCACATTTTGCAGACGCTGACACATCACTATTTCTGGCCAGAAAAGCAGCCTATTGTCTTCACCCCGAGAAGCAATGCCAGTATCACTCTTTAGATGGACTAGGGGGGGTGCCTGGAGAGCATTTTGGCTAAATCCCGTGTCCTTTCCTTTGGACACTCTCTATTTAAACACCGAGCATGGCGCAGAGCCTGGATGTGCTGGGGAGCTTTTCCCTCCCCTCTCCCCAATGAGCTACTATGTGCATAATTAATTCTACTCTTTCCCAGTGAAATTTCTTTTCCCCCTCAAAAGAAGTCCTCTGACAGTTATCCCTGTTACCAAACCATCAGCTCCTACAGTTGCAAAGAGCTGCAATCTGCCTGAGTCCTCCCTGAAGCTGAGTAAAAAAATCCGTCCAGCTTTCACCACTTTCTCCTCCTCATTTTCCATAAAGATTTAGATCTGGGCATCTTATGTCCTGCCAAACTTTGGCACAATCCCCTGTCATGTTTTTATTAGGAAATGCTAGAATGATACAACTGAAGCCAGGTGGTAATGGGCTTTCAGAGAAGTGTGGTAAATGCAGCACTTGAACAACTCCTTTGACTTTCATTCTGTTCATAATCCCAAATCCTGGCCATTTCAGCTCAGAATTCCAGATTTAGCATGCAACACTAAATAATATTACCCAGCTTTGAACTTCCAAAATCTAATTAGCATTGAGAGTTCTATAAACTCTATTTCAGGGCCCCCAGAAAGGAAGGAACAAAAGATTATTCCTTCTTTTTCTTCTTCTACCCTGTCACTGACTCACAGAATTCTCTCCATAAATTGACGAAATTCAGTTTTTAAGGTTTGGCATGACTGCCACTAGCTGACAGCTCCACAGCTCCAGAACATTAGGTCTCTAGTGGTTTGAAATATCCTCATTTTTATCCTAACTCATTTATAAACTGATTTGATTTTACAGAACTAGTGTCCCTTTTTTCTTCTTCCTTTTTTTTTTTTATTTCCCATAGTGCTTATCTCTCTGGTATATTTACAATATAATCCTGCTCTCCTGTTTTTTGCTGAGTTTAACAAACTGAGTTCTAGTCCTCCTTCAAAAGTAGGGTTATCTGAAGATACACATTTGCAAGCGATTAGGAAATATGTAAGATGTTCTATCTGCCCTAATTTAGAGTCTTTTGAATGCTGGGATGTTATTTCAGGCTTCTATCCTCTATACTTCTATGCATTTAAGTGCCCAGCTCTAATCAAACTTCCCTGAAATGTAGTTTTTTTGATTTATTTTCTTAAAAACTCTTCAAAAGGATTATGAAAGGCCATTAACTTGCAGTGCATCCTCTTGGACAAAAAAAGCATGAACATGAGATGGAAATAACGAGGGCTTTGAAAATCAGTCCAGAAGTTAATTTTTCATTTCCATGGCATTTCCAGCCCATGGATGATGAGAATGATGACTTCAGAATCACATCCCAAACAAGATTTATCATAATAAGTCTCACTAAACAGGCAAAACGAAACAGTATTTTCAATGCAGCATATTCAGTTTGAGCACTTTGTAACCTGATTGAGAAAATTAACTGAACACTTCATAAAGACAGCAAATTTCCAGACAGCAGATACTCCACAATTTTATAAAATATGGCCTATGAGGTCCCTTTCTGGGAAATACATTTGGAAACATGAGTCACACCAGTGAAAGCAACTTTGCACCCACAGCACTCATCAGTAAAGCTTATTGATCTGTCAGCCATACACAGCACAGGACTGAACATTCCCTAATTGATCAGATGATTGATAACATTCTTATTATGATCAGTATTTTTGCAGACACCCTGACAGAGGTTTTTTCACTCCAACACCAGTGTTTTCTTCACTTCTGTTAGTGGATGGGTAAGTATTGGTCAGTACAGTTAAACAAGCAGAAGCCCAAAACACAAGTGCAGTAAAAAAAGAGAGGTAAAAATAATGATGCTGACTTCTCAAAGTCAGGGGTTTCTAGCATACTACATCCATGGATCACTGATATTAAAAAATCCACAAAAGGTGTGAGCCCAAGAACCTCAAGAACACCTTTGACTTGTTACAACCACCTTCACCAAGACAAGTTGCTTCTGAGAACGCCTTCGGTGTCCCGTGAGCTCACGAGATGCACTTGGGATTGATCCTGCTGCTTACCTGAAATTTCCTTCTGGCCACAAAATACTGCATCCTCCTGATGACTTTCACAGCTGTTCTGTGTGCTTCAGTCAGTCTGCCAAGGAACACAAACACAGACAGACATCAGCTGGGGGGGCAGGAGGGAGGAAAAATGTCTCAATGGAAGATGTTGACTCCAAGCACCGAAATGTACAACTGTGTTTTATCTTTACAATGCAAAACTGCAGTGTAGCAAGCTGTCAGTGTGTGGATGCTTTGTTCTGCTGCTTTGCCTTCCTGCAAATTGTGGTTCTAAGTATTCAAAACTGATAAGTGAGACAATGAAAGCAGGTGTACAAAGATAATACATGTGGAAGGGATTAGACAGGATTACTGTCAATGCACACAACTGGCATCGGTTTGAAGAATATTAAATGTTTTTAGAACCATGACTGCATTCCTTATTTTGCATTTACTGAGTGTTTGCCCATGAGCTCTATTGCACAGAAATTAGGTCCTTCAAAAATCCCTTTCCTTCCTACTTTGAAGGAAAGAAAAATCAAAGTGTCCTAAAAAAAAGTAAATAAAAATGAACACAACATATACTTTCAGCACACGTGTGTGTGTCTGTACTGGTATCCAAACACAGAATGGGACATTTTATAACTCAGCTGTATCACTTCACCTAGATTATCCTGCATTTGCAGAACATTAGTTGTGCCACTTGGCAGGCAATTAATTACCACACCTCTTCTTTATGGTGAATTTTGGCAGGGTAGAGAGGAAGCAGGAACATGCTAATTATAAGAATGAGCATTTTCTTGAAGGACTGACTCCTTCCCCATGGACTCCTTTATTCATTCAAAGTAAGTGAACTAAAGAAAACAAAATTTTCTTTCCAAGGAAGTTGTATTGTTGGGAAATCTATGTTTTATGTGGACACCATCCTTGACATGTGATGATAATCCCAGGAAAGCTTTCCAGCAAGAATCTTCTGAAAACACAATCTGCTGCCTCTTCCCAGTGTGTCTGGCTGGGGAAAGGAAGTATTGGCTTGACCACCTACTTGGGTGCCACAGTTTAGAGACAAAGTCTTTAAAATTGGAAAGGTTACAGTGGATTATTTCAAACTGAAGGAAATAAAGGTTAAACAAGCAGGGACTGTGTTGTAAGAATTAGCATACTAATTCATTTTTATAATTATTCTTTGGGGAAAACAGTGCTTATCCTAGAATATGCTGAGCTGGAAGGGACCCATCAGGATCACTGAGTCCAACTCCTGGTACCCCAATAATCCCACCCTGTGCCTAAGAGCTTCTGATTGGGTGAGGATGCCATAGCCACAGGCTTTTAACATAAACTTTCAGTAGCTTTTCCTTGCTCTTTTCACTTCAAGTCCCAGAATAACATTAAATACAATCATAAATAGCTGTCTGCCCTGCCTATATGCCCATATTTCATTTATCTGTGTATATCCATGCAGTTGTTCACATAAATACACTCACACATGCAAACACACAGGAGGCAAAGCAGGATGAGCATGACTGAAGAACTACCTTTGTTGTACACCATCAGCAGCACTGCTGAGGAGGAATCTTTACATTTGTGTAAGCCCATCAAGGGGATTTCACAAGTGTCACTGATGAGCTAGCAGCAGTTTAGCCTGCAGGACCTTTATTATGGTGGAAAAAAAGCTCCCAGCTTGACATGCAGGGCCCCAGCTGAGCTCCTGTGGCTGCTGACTAGAACAGAGATGACATCAGAGATGACATTCTGCTTGCAAATGGCACAGAATTGATAGAGAAATCTTTTTCAGCCCCTACAACTATTTTTTTTTTTTAATAACCACAAAAGAATCACAGCTTAAGGTTTAGGGGTTAGCCTACCTCCCTCGTGTAGCAGTTAAGACAAAAACTTGAAATTATCCCCTAGAAATAAATGATGTAAAATTTCATATGTATACTTGAGGGGTTTTTTATTAGGCTAATCCATATGAGATGGTTCAGGCACTGTTTAAACAGGCTTAAATAGACAAGTTTAAAGAAGTCAGAGATGGAACCAAACCAAGGCAGTAATTTCATCCTAATTCCCCCCCTTCAGCACAAATCAGGGCTACAGAACTTTTTCCACTGTGTTATCAAACCAAAGTTTTCAAAACAATGAGGCTGAACTTTTGGAACTTGATGCACAGCTGAACAGGCCTCATTTTTAGACAGAAAAGTAATTTATTTGTCAAATACAGCTAAGAAGGTCACCCAACTATCATTCCAGAGCACTTGATATCATCATGTTCCAATTGGCAAAACTCACACCAGTTTCATTGGGAGAAAATTCTGAAACAGAAGTGACTGCTCAGATTTGATGGTCACTGGTGTTAAAACTGAGAGTCAGATATGTGTGAAACCTGACTTTGATGGAAAAATAGCATGAAAAGGTGTAAATCCATTGACTGAGACATTTGGATAAGTCATCTTAATTGCCCCAATAAATCCCCTGGGAGCACAGCAGCTCCAGATGAGATAAATTCCTGCTCTGTACAGCAACCAGAGCTATCCTCCTGATGGGAGGTTGGGGCAGTGTGGCCATGATCCTAAGCATTTTTTTGAGAATTTAGCTGTTTTTCATAGGTTTCTGACCACTAATTCCCATAATGGATAATTAAAACTACTACTGACCAGGTTACACTTTTCCCTGAAAATAGCCCAACATATCTACCCTACTAAACCTTGTATTTTATCCCAAACCCTTGGATTGGGCAAAACTCCTTCAGGCTTGAAGGTGTAGGTCTGTCATGTGCCAGAAACATCCACCAGGAGAGAAGAAATGGTCAGAGATGCTCAGGGCCCTGCTTTGGTAGTGCTCAGCAGGAGCACAGCACCACTTGCAGCAAATCCCCCAGATATTTTAGGATAAGCAGCTGATGAGACAACAGCCTGAGGGGGGTGTGACTGACCCCACATTTGCAGACTCTTTCCATGTGGTATTTTCTATGGAAACAATACAGAAAGGGACAGATCTACACAGAGACTGTGGTTTCTAACTCCCTCGGGGGTGAGGATTTAACTCCTTTCATAGCCTGGCTCCCAAATAGCAGGACCTGAGCCCTTGCTCTAGGCAGGAACAGGAGTGGGTGGGTGCCCACACCTCTGTCCCTACAGAGCAGCCAAACTCTCCTTCCTCTGTGCACCAGAGGGCAGTGGCACACACACACACAAGGAGATGCTTTCCAGCACATTCAAACATTTAATTATTTTTTTAAATCCACCCAGAAACCCAAGCTTAAGCTCTCCTCATAAGGATGGAGTCCACACTGAGGGGGGTGGGTGGTCAGTATTAGGTATGTTGTTTTTTCTGTATGTTATGCTCAAAAGAATATAATTAGAGCTTTATTGGCACACAATTCCTTGCTTTCCCATCTTTTAACCTATACAACAGGAAATAACGTTTTGTCAAAACCCTCCCTTAAAACACTTTGTAAAGGAGAACAAAATAACATTTGAACAGAAGTGATCTGGCTTTGGGAAAGTTATGAGCACATAAATTAATAATTGAAGCTTGCAACATCTGTAACTATAATGAATACCATGAAATGTCTATTGAAATAACATATCCTTGGATCCATAAATGATACTGACATCATTTCTAACTGTGTCTTCAACAGCACCCAAGGCAGTGTGTGCTCCTTACCTCTCTGCACGAGGATTTCTCAGCAGGATGCTCAATTTTAAAAGGGCTCACAACTATCCTAAATTACAATTAGTTGTTCCTAGTTTGGCTCCTGGGCTGTGCCTGTGGTAGGGCAGGGAGGAAGGGGAGGGGGTGGTGGTCCTGGATCATGGATGTTCACACAGTCCCCACCCTGGGGGAATGCTCAGGATCTCTTGGCAGCTACTCTGGAATGGCTGGGGAAGGGGACTGGCTCAGCATCCCCCCTGCAGGTCCTGGCTATGCCTGTGTGTGTGCAGAGCCTGGTGGGACAGCCCAAGGGCCACTGCAGGCTGGGCTTGCTCCTCTGCTCAGGGCTCAGACAGCACTGAAAGGCATCACTTTCAGCTAAAACACTTGGATGTATTTAAGACTGGTTTTTTTTTTTTTTTTTTTTTTTTTTTTTTTTTTTTTTTTTTTTTTTTAACGGCAGGAAGGCTGTAGCTTAAGCCAAAGAAGCCAAACATTTTCTTTTTTGTTGGAAATAATCGAACCAGAGGAGAAAATAGACATGATGAAATCCAAAGCAACTGTAAAAAACTATCCCACTGGGATGTTTTCATAATCTTTCTTTGATATGGCATTCTGTTAGTTAAAAGCTGGTGTTGACCAGTCCAGATCTACTCTTTTTCTTCTTCTGTATGGAGTCTGATAACTTCAGCCTAATGTGCTTTGGAGCAGTCAGGGAATATTTTAAGTGAAAAAAGATACCTAAATGGACCCTAAAGCCAGGCAGAGTTACAACTATTGCAGGCCATGTTGAGGTACAGCTCAAGTCTCCAAACAAGCCTGATATCAGTGGATGTATTTTCAGTCCAGCAGCATTTTTTAATCATTAGAATTGACTTCAGTGTAGGGATCAGGGAAGGGACTTTGCCCAGGCTGGGCTGCAGAGTGCCTGCAGATAGTGGAATGTGCATTCCACACTGGTTTTCCTGAAGTTTATTCAGGTGTCATGAATTAGAGGAGTTATTCAGTGTGTAACATCATGAGCTGTGGAAAACAAAGGCCACTTCAGCAAGGCCAATTATAGCTCTCTGTCCCAATTTGCAAAACTGTTTTGAGGATACATGCTCGCAGTACGTGGGTTACTGCTGAGCTTCATTCATTTGTCAGATTTTCATTGCTTAGCAGGAAAGTACATACAGAGTCACACTAACTCTGTTTTGTTACTGGTCCCTGGATGGTTGGTAACTCCTGCCCAGAGAAACATACAGCATCATCTGCTCTGGAGCTGTCCACTTGGCATTAGTTGCTAAGGCAGCACAAACAGGGACTAAATCAGTGATGGCAACTGAAATGTACAGAAGTTACTTGAGAACTCAGCCCTCCGTCTGCCTTTTTGCTTTCCCATCACGTTTGATTAAGATTATTCACTTTCCAGCTCTGTTTCTAGGAAGAACATTGATT